CTTCTCCTCCATTCTCCTCTCGGGATTTTGGGCACGCACGCACACGCACCCAGCATTGAGTTTCGAGCCTCCAGGTCCAGGATTCAATCCGCAGTCGGCCACGTGGGAGTCCAGTGCAGTAACCATTACGCCATCTGCTGGTCCCCATAACTGTTCTTTTGAAGTGCAGGCAAAGATCGCTGCTTAAGACAATGCCATCACTTCCGAAAGAGAAAGGGAACGCCACCCTGCGGGGTGCCACCGTGAACCGCCACAGCAGTGTCCCACTAACTGATGGCAAGCCGAGGGCCCCACGCACAGCCCCCACCCTCACCAGGCGGGAGTCCCCCGCGGCTCTCACACTGTCTGGCCCTGGTGGGCAGTGGCTCTGAGAGGGGCTACTCCCTGGAACGAATGTTCTCACACTCAGTCAGCCAAAGGGTGCGTGCTGGGTGGCCCCGGCTTACCTTCTCAAACAAACACGCCAAATGCAAGCCGGTGCTCCACCTTCCTAAACACAGGCCTGCTGCTAACTGGTCTCCTCACGCGTGTCAGTGCCAGCTTGTCACCCTCGCCAGAGGGACCAAAGTCCCGCAGCTCCCCAAATAGCAGGGCAAAGCGGGGGCGCCATCGGGGCTCAGGGTGGCGCAGGACAGCCTGAACGCAGCCGGCGGGGTGGGCGGCAGCCTGGCGTTACTGTGAGATGCACTACAAACTTTTTCCAGGGCTGAAACTGGGAACTTGCCAGGCGAGACTGTAATTTAATTGTTTAGGCAAAAACATGACTTGCCGATCAGGGTTTTAAAAAAGATGTCCCATGGATTTCTTGTTCTGAGTGTGTGGGAGAGTTTCTCTGAAGACGTAATGAATGGTTAAGCTGCCTTTTAAAAATACCTCACTAATTTTGAAATAAGCACGCCATCTCATTTTGAAGAAGTTAGGACATTTAATCACATTTTTTATAAAGAAAAAAAAGTAAAATGTTTATTATTAGAAAAACTGAATTCAGAGTATAGAAAGTGCGTTTTAGTGAAGATAGAGAGTGGAAAGAGTACAGAATATGAAAGCTGAAAATAAAGTGTGTAGCGGCACTGTGAAAAATAAGCGTGGAAACACACACGGATTAAGCATCCGACCTCTTAGGTTGCTGGGACAGTCATGACGCATTTGTACATAGAAGAAACATGGAAAAATAGCTACGACTCTCCCACCCACCAACAAATGCGTGCGTCCACACGCGGCCGCCGCACCCCGCCTTGCCTCCCTGCTCGTC